CTGTCCTACGACAGCCTGCTCAACCCTGGTTCACCAGGTGGCCACGCCTGCCCCGCCCACCCAGCCGTGGGCATGGCCACATACCACTCACCCTACCTGCACCCTGGGGCAACAGGTGACCCGCCACGGCCCCTGCCCCGCAGCTTCAGCCCCGTGCTGGGCCCCCGGCCCCGGGAGCCCTCGCCTGTGCGGTATGACAACCTGTCCAGGACCATCATGGCGTCGATACAGGAGCGCAAGGACAGGGAAGAGCGCGAGCGCCTGCTGCGCTCCCAGGCTGACTCGCTCTTTGGAGACTCGGGCGTCTATGACGCACCCAGCTCCTACAGCCTGCAGCAGGCCAGTGTGCTGTCTGAGGGCCCCCGAGGCCCCGCGCTGCGCTACGGCTCCAGAGACGACCTTGTGGCCGGGCCCGGCTTCGGTGGTGCCCGCAACCCTGCCCTGCAGACGTCACTGTCCTCGCTGTCCAGCTCCGTGAGCCGAGCACCGCGGACGTCATCCTCCTCCCTGCAGGCTGATCAGGCCAGCAGCAACGCCCCGGGGCCCCGGCCCAGCAGTGGCTCACACAGGTCGCCTGCCCGCCAGGGCCTGCCCTCCCCGCCCGGCACTCCCCACTCACCGTCCTACGGAGGCCCTAAAGCTGTCGCCTTCATCCACACGGACCTCCCAGAGCCGCCGCCCTCGCTGGCCATGCAGAGGTGGGTGCTGGGAGGTGTGGGTGGGCTTCCTGCTACAGGGCAGCTGTGCAGCCGTCTACAGGGCCCCTCTTGGCTGAGCGCTCATGGGTCATCCCAGGGGCCTGTGTCTTTCTCTGGGGGCGGGACAGGGCGGCTGCGCCTCACCCTGCCGTGAAGGCCCTGTGTGGCCCAGCTCTGAGGATGTCCTGGGCATGCTCTGGGGACAGGGTATGAGAATTTGTGTCCTCAGCCCAACGACATGACTCGTTCCTCCAGCCCTGGCACAGACCCAGCGTGTGGGAGGGCTGTGGGGCTTTCTCCTTGGGGCTGGTGTCATGCGGCAGCCTGGGGCTCCTCTAGGCTGTGGCTCTGACCTCCTGGGTCACACTGTCTCTGTCCACCGGGGCCCTCCTTGGGCCTGCTTTGTTGTATCTCTAGGAGGCTGGGGCTGAGGACATTACCTATCAGTAAAACGTGTGACCCTGGGTGGCTGGGCCCTGGCCCTCCCTAAAGCATAGGCTTCCCTGCTCATAGGTGGGGAAACTGACTAGGGAAGGCAGGCTGACTGCAGGCACCCAGCAGGTTGGTAACTTGGAATGCAGGGTCAACTGCCTCACAGGCCCAGGCCCAGGTAGGAGAACTGCGTCTGCGGGGGCCAGGACCCACGCCACTGACGCATGGTGTCCTCATGGCATCCATGGCCCCGTCTGGGCCTGGAAACCTCAAGCACAGGCTCAGTTGTTTGCCGTCGGCAGATGTGGCCCCGGGCGTCAGCCCAGCCCAGCCCGGTCCACTTGGCCACAGAGGGATGAGGACACAGCAGTCGGCCCTGAGCAGGCCTCCCCTACTCCATAGGCTCAGAGTCTGCTCAGCTTTTGTGGGATCAGGGAGCAGGCTGCCATTGGGTGTGATGAATGGAGAAGCCGAGACCTAGAAGTGGGCAGCATGGCAGCCAGGCAGGGACCGCAGGCTGGGGACAAAGGGCTCTTGCCTGGAGAAGCTTGAAGCAGCAAGGATAGAGATGCTGTTAGTCAGCGCTGGTGGGCAGGAGGGGAGCCCCTTGTTTTCCTTAGAGAGAGCCGGCATGAGGCCTGGCAGAGGGGCTCCATTCAGTGCCCACCTGGCTGCCCCATACTCTCTGTGGCCAGTGCCAGTTAGGAGGGACGCAGGGACTCGGGAGGGTGGTGGCAGTTGTGATGATATCTGTCTGTCCTGTGACAGCACAGCCGCTCCCCGGGCAGGCTCTGGGGCCCTGCCTGCTTTCTGGGTGAAGCCCCTGAGCCCAGGGAGCAGGGGCTGCCGGGGGCCCCACCACGCTGCTGCCCCAGTCCACGTCCGTTGTCTGTCCTGCTGCGTTCTCCGTCCACTGTCCCCACGTGTCCCCGTGTTCACCGTGTGCGTGCGTGTATGTGCTTGTTTTCATGCAGGGGTCACTCTCAGCTGAAGACTCCCCCAAGTAAGCTTAATGGGCAGTCCCCAGGCCCGGCCCGGCTGGGGCCTGCCACAGGCCCCCCAGGGCCCCCTGCCAGCCCTGCGCGGCACACGCTGGTTAAGAAGGTGTCCGGCGTGGGTGGGACCACGTACGAGATCTCGGTGTGAGGACTGACCGCCACCCATCCGCTGTGGTGCCACGGGGACCAGGACCCCGCAGCGCACCCCCTCCCCACCGACTTCTCTGCCCCAGGGACAGGAGGCCACCCCAGCCGGGGGTGGAGCCCTCGGCGGGAGAGAAAGCCACGCCTCCACAGCTTGCCCCAAGTGCTCTACCTGTCCGTCCACTCATCTGACCATGGGGAAGTTGGCTCACTGGGCCAGGGGCCACTGGGCTGGTCTGTGGCTGGGCCTGTCCCATGGCTGGGGCACTGAGGGGACCCAGCCAGCCTCTTCGAGGCACCCTCTCAGCCAGGACTGGGCCCATTCCTATCACCCATGCACCCCAGGTCATTGCCAGGCCAGCCCCCAACGATCCCCTTACAGACGGGTCCCAGAGATGGACAGAGGTCCCCAGGGCCCCCACCATCCTTCTGACACACCCTGTGGGCTCCTGGACCGAGGGTCCCCCGCCAAGCTACTCCTAATGCATTGCCTTTCACGGACCCCGCTGGAAGCTTGTAGCTTGGCAAGGCCGATGCTTCCGCCCTGGCCCGCTCTGGGTGGTGGTGGATAGGGGACAGATGGACAGCCAGCCAGCTGTGGCGGGGCCCAGCTCCGTGTGTCCCGTGTTGCCCGGCGGGCGGGCTCGTGTCCCGTGTCTGTGTGCCGTGCTGCTGCGCGTGTGGCCGCGCCGTGTGATGTGTCAGTGCTCTAGCCGCCGCTGTCCCTTTCATCAAAGCCTTAACCTTTGCTTTATGCTCTTGTGGGAGGCGACGGGGGGCAGGCGGGAGCAGGCATGGGGGTGATGCTGCCACAGGGGGCCGGTGACACCCAGAGCCCCCTCCCCAGCCCTCAGGCCCTCCCTGCCAAACTGGAGAATCCCCGCCCCCAGGCATGCGGAGTCCCCAGCCCTGGGTTGGCCGCGGTGCCTCGTGCCCTGTGGAAAGCACACTGGGGAGGCCAGCGCTTCCCCTGGCGTCAGGGACCCGAGAGCAAGCACACGACAGCGTCCGCTTGCGTTGTGTCTGTTTTATGTTTTTATATCTACATCTATATATCTATAATTTTATTAAAAAAAGAAAAAGAGTTATTTTGATTCTTTCCTTGGGCAAGGCCAGGGCTGGTGCAGCAGGGCCCCCAGAGTTAGGGGAGGGCAGGGGCTGGGCCTCAGAAGAGGGTGGCTGCTGTCTGGTATGCAGGGGTCGTGGGGTCCTTGGGGACATTTCTGCCGACTTGGGCTGAGCCAGGGGCCTGGGAGGAAGGGGTGGCCGATGGTCTGTGGCTGGGAAGTGTGAGGGTCTCTCGCCTTGGATCTGTGCCATTTCTGGTCAGTGACAGGGTGTTTGGGGGAAAGACTTGGGTCTGCTGCTACCTACAGGGGGGTCCCAGGACGCAAGAGCTTGGGGAGATGAAATGGGGGTACATAGGGACCACCTGCTGGCTCAGGACCCTGTGGGGGCCGCTGAACTTGCTGGAACTCTCCTGCCTGCCAAATGCCAGGGGCAGGGCTGAGGGAGTGTGAGGGACACACAGCTGTTTGGGGCTGAGGTGGCCTGGGCTGGGGCTGTCCCAGCGTGGGAGGTGTGCGGGCTGCAGGGCCCTGAAGCTGCGCCATGCTGACCTCCACCTTTCTGCTTCTCTCTCACGGACGCCGCGGCCCTCAGGGGGCGGATTGGCACCTGCACCCGTGGATGGGGGCGGCGTGGCCAGCCCTGGGTGCCCCCTGGGCTGCACCTGTGCCACCTTGGCCCCCCGGAGGACCGCCCACCACTGCGGGCCCCCTGGAGCCCGGCTGCCGGGGCACCCCCACGAGGGGCCATGTGCCGCCTGCACTTGGCTGCCTCCAGCCTTTTCCCCAGCCTCTCCGGGCCCTAGCAGGATGACAAGTAGGCGGTTCTGGGGCCCGGGACAGCCTAGCTGGGGACCCAGGAGGTCAGGCTGCCATGGACCCTGGGGCAGGGCTGGGGGCGGGCTGGGCTCTCTCCACCAGCCACAGCTTGACAGACTCCCAGCCTGCCAGGGCCTGAGACCCTGTGTCCATGTGACCTCAGGGAGTCCCTCACCTGCTGCAGGGGGCCCAGCACCCACAGGGGCAGCCCCAGAGCTGTGGGGACCAGCACGACCTTTGCCCAGCCTCCCTGCCTGACCAAGCACTTTAGACTAAGCCACTTCCTCCTCGGGGAGCCCAGGCCTCTATGGGTTGGGCTGGGGGGGCGGGTCTCAGGTTGCCCCCGAAGGTCTCTGCACTCCTCCTGCCCTTCCCCTGACACATGAACAGATGCCTTAACTTCCTGGAGCTGCCAGCCTGGTGAGCCATTGACCCCTGCCTGTCACCAAGGTCCTGTGGTCGTGGCCAGCTCTGCCCAGGCCCCACTGGGGCTGTCTGCACCCAGAGACGATGCCGCTGGCAGCTGAGGGCCTGTGGCCCGAGCCCTGTGTCCTCCAGCAGCTGGCATGGCCTGCAGCACGGTGGCACTCTGGCCAGCCCTTCTCTGGCACAGGGTCCCCGTCCCTGGGTCCACCCTGGCCGTGGCTCTATTTCTCCCATTTTGGAACGAGAAAGCCACAAAGCTGTTGTTCTTAAGGGTACCCCTGCCAATTCTCCAAATAAAATTTTTGGTGTTGATCTCCATATCTCTGTCTACCAATGTGGTCCCCGGGACGGGACTGGGCCCTGGGTTGGGGAGGTGACAGGACCTGGGCAGGGTGGGTGCTAGCCACGCGGGGAGGGGGGCTGCCTGAGGGGCATGCGGTCAGTCGGTCAGCAGGTTCAGCGCTGAAAACCTGACCTCTGTGGTCTCCAGGAGGGCCTGGCCCGGGGGGAAGACCTGAGGACCCCCCCAGTCCTGCTGTTTCCTTTCAGGGGACACCCTCCTAAGATGCCCTAGGGGGGTCACAGCCCCAGTGTGGAAGGCCTGCCTTCTGGAGGGCAGGTGGGATGTGGGTGGGAAGCCAGCCCTGTGGCTGGGGTCTCCACCCTGAGGGATCCTTGCTGCTTGATTGCCCGGGCGTCCCTTCCCCGATTTCCACAGACACGCTCACAGGCCACGTATGTCATGACTCTATGTCCAGCTGCAGGCCCAGCCCTCAGGACAGACCACGCCTCCACCCTTCTCTGCAGCTCCTGGCTTGGACAGTGCACAGTGGTGCCGTGGGCAGGGGGCTGGCACGGCCACTGGGCATCTGGGACAGTGCTGGCCGCCTGGCCTCCTCCTCACTGGGGCCACTTGGCCTCTGGCCTAGAAGGGCAGGAAGCCATCCACCTCGAGGTGCAGGAAGGGGCCCAGCAGGGCCCGGAGCTTCCAGACGGTGGCGCGGCTTAGCAGGGGTGGCACCAGCCCCTCGAAGGGTGTGGGGTTCACCACGTACACGTAGGCGGCGGTCCAGACCAGCAGGGCCCCCAGCAGCAGCCTCAGGGTCAGCAGCCTGCGGGCGGCGGTGGTCAGGGGCAGGGGCGCGCGGGGGGCCTGGGGGCTGGGCTGTGCTTCGCAGTCACCTACCAGAGCTGGCCTGCCAGGCCCTTGGCGCTTTCCAGCTTTGGCCTCCCTTTCTGTCGGGGAGGGGCTGGATCAGAGCCCACCCCAAGGGTACAGGCCGAAGAGTGGGGAATCCCTGGCTTTGGGAAACCCTCCTAGACAGGGGTCCTCCCCCACCACAGCCCTGACCCCTTCCTGCACAGGCTCCTGCAGCCACTTTTCGGATGCTCTCCTGCTCTGGGCCTGCCCTACTGGAGCCCATTCCTCCCACTCCTGAGGGCAGGGCCCTGGGTTTCGGGGCTGGTCTTCCAGATCCGGAGTGGGGCGTGGGGGGCTCACTGCCATGCTTGCCATCCGCTGCTCCTTCCTGGCCTGACTGCGACACTGGGCCCGCTCCCTGCAGGGGCCTCACTGTCAGGACCCCATGCCCTCCATTCCCAGCCCGGCACCACCCCCTGGCTCGGTGCTATGGAGGTGGGGGGGTCAAGGATGGGTCTCCCCCATCCTGACCAGGACATCTTCTGAGACCCCGCTCATCCAGCCCGACCCCCGCCCCCATGTTACCCCAGAATCTCCATCTGGATGTCTGCCATCTGGTCCAGCACGCCCCGGATGTCCTTCTTGAGGTTCTGGGGGCCAGAGGAGGTAAGCACAGCAGCCCCCCGCCCCGCCCTCCCTGCCTCTTACCCGCCTGCTCCGTCCTTCTGGGTTCTGCCCTGTGGGGACCTACCAGGAGCCCGGTGGCCTGGTTGTTCAGGGCCGTGTGCACCTCAGCCACGCTGTCCCACACCTGGGGGGAGGTGGGGTCACGCCTGAGGAGCAGGACCCACTGGGTGGACCCCCAGCACCCCTCCCCCTCAGCCAGGCGGGCACCTCTGTGATGACCATCTTCTTCCTCTCAAAGCACAGGCGGATCTGCTGCAGCTCGTTCTGAGGGGGGCCCAGGGTGGGCTTGGGCAGCATCAGCAGGGTGGCTGGTACCTCCCTGCTAGGCTCGCTGGGCTGCTGCATGAAGACCCCCTCCCCACCAACCCCCCCCAGCCCACCTGGAGTGCGGCACTCAGGTTCCTCCCCCCACAGCCCCGCCGCACCTCGGCCCACCTGGGACTGCTGCACGAAGGCCTCTTGCCCCTGGCACAGCTCCCGCCGAAGCAGCTGCAGAGGCACCCTGTCCCCCAGGGGCTGCTTGCTGGCCGGCTCTGGGGTCTGTGGGAGAGCTCCCAGATCAGCCCCAAGGCCTTGGGCTAGTGGGGTGTTGGCTGCATGGGGTCCCTAGGCCCTGCACTTACCCAGGCCAGGGAGGTACAGCTTGAGTGTTCGGGACACAGGGGCAGGAACTGCTGCCCTGGCCCCAGGAGGGCCCCCAGCTGCTCCCGAAGGTCCTGGTTCTGCCTTTTCTGGGGATGGGGGTGCCGAGAGATGGGACTGCCTGTCATGGCCACTCCTGGGGCTGGGGCTGGGGCAGGGGCAGGGGTGCCAGGCGGTGGGTGGGGTGCTCACCAGGCTGTGGTTCTCCTGTTCTAGCTGCAGGAAGGACTGTGCTGCAGAGCCCGGCAGCCCGCACTGCAGCTGGGAGAGGGCTGCCCTGGGTGAGGCCAGGGCCCCTCCCTCTGGCGACAGGGGTGGGCATGGGCAGGGTCTGGGCCCCAAGCCAGCGGATCCCCCCTGCCTGGAAGCCCCCTGGTTTGTCCCTGGGTGCAGGGGCCAGGCCCACTGGAGCCTCGCCTCCAGGTCTCCTTGTCTTGGCCCCTCAGGGTTTCTCGTTCTCTGCTCCTCGATAGACAGAAAGGTCCTGGGAGTCTCACCCCCCACCCTGGGCCCCCTACCCTCTGCCTCTGGGTCTGGGAAAGGTCTCTGGGACTGCACTAAGTGAGCAGAGGAGATGGGGCCCAGGCAGGGCCACCCTACAAACCGCTGGCAGGGATGCTCCAGGCATCCTCCATGGCTGCTGGAGGCTGGGGCTGGGGCTGGGGGACACTGGGGGTGGGGGTGGCCACAGGGGCCCAGGGTTTTCAGCCCCTCCATCCCTCCCTGCAACCCCTTCCTGACCCCAGGTCCAGGCTCTGGCCTGGCCCAACCTGCCACCCTCTTATAGAGGGCACTCTGGGCGACCCACTGGCTCCCAAGCAGCCCCAGGTGACAGTCACAAAGGCCTAGGTGAGGCCAGGGAGGTCACAATGGGCCTCTCCCACCTGGTCCTGAAGCTACTCTGCCTGGTGACCTCACTGCCTCTGACCCACTGACCCACCAGTGAATTCTTTTTCTTTCTTTTTATGAGAGAGAGCCTTGCCCTGTCATCCAGGCTGGAGTGCAGGGGCACGATGGTCTCATTTCTCCAACTTCTGGGCTCAAGTAATCCTCCCACTTCAGCCTCCCAAGTAGCTGGGACTACAGGTGTGTGCAACCATGTCCGGCTAATTTTTACAATTTTTCATAGAGATTGGGCTTTCGCTATGTTGCCCGGGCTGGTCCTAACTCCTGGCCTCAAGTGATCCTCTTACCTCAGCCTCTGAAAATGTTGGGATTACGGACGTGAGCTTCTGCACCCGCCTAGTTATTTTTCTTAAATGTGAAACAGATACACACACACACACACACACACACACACACACACACACTGTGTATTCAAAAAATATCGAACAATAAAAATGGCATCCGAGCCTTTCTGGACTGCATCTCCTGTCCCTGCAGCCAGGAACCTCCTCCTTAAGCGCCTCCTGGAGGTGGGCTGCCGTCCCCTGCCCCTTGTTCACACGGAAGAGGCCGTCTGGCGGCCCAGCTTTCTTTTCACCGAATGTATCTCTGAGGTGTAAACCATTCTTTTCTAGCTATGTATTGGAACATTTACTTTATGCCAGATCCGGTACATGCCATCGTTATTTATCCTCGGTTTACAGGTGGGGAAACTGAGGCAGGAAGCCCTTTAGTCACTCACCGAAGGCCATGCGGCTGTTACAACCAAGCCACCGGGTGGGGGGCCAGATTCACGTCGGGACCCATTCCTTCCTGCTCCCTCGTGCTCCTCACACCGCCTGCCCCGCTGCCCCTCACTGCCCCTCACTGTCCCTCACTGCCCCTCACTGCCCCTCACTGCCCCTCAGAGTCCCTGTGCCCGTGCCCTCCTCCTTCTCGAGCCCCTCAGCCCTCAGTGAACCCTCAGAAAGCTGGCTCCGAGAAGTCCTCATGCAGGAGGAACAGCCGCGTTCCCTCCTCTCCCAGTGTCCTGGCCCCGCTGCAAGGTGACTCAACCTCCTACATCAAGAGGCGGGGCCCGCTCTCCACCCCCGGACTCGGGACCGGCCTCAGATGCACTTGGCCAATGGCTGCTCCTAAGCTGCTGTGGACAGTATTTGGCATGACACTTGTGTGCTGGGCCTGGACCTCTCTTGCTTGGCTCTGGGGACTGTTCTCTGTGCAGGAGGCCTGGGCTGGACTGCAGGATGAGAGGCCATGGGACAGGAGAGGCTTCTGTCGTCCCAGCTGGTCCCCAGCTGCCTGAAGATGGGTGGGCAAGCGCAGCGAGACCCCCAGAGAACTGGCCCATACGGCCAGCCAAGTGCAGCCACGTACCGCCGAGCCCCAGGCTGTCACGTGGTTTTGCCACTGAGTTTTGGAGTGGGCTGTGATGTAGGAGAAGATACTGAGAGGGCTCACAGGCCTAGAAGCGTCTTACCCTGACCTCACACCTGCTAGACATTGGGCTGGGGAAAGAATCGGGGCTGAGGGCGTTTCCCCCAGGACTGGAAGGTTGGTTGTGGTCCTCGGTGCTGGGAGCTGGCCAGGCCGCTGGCCTTCTCCCCGGAAGCCTGCAGGGCTTGTGAGAGAGGGTCCTGCTCTGTCATCCAGGCTGAAGTGCAGTGGCACAGTGCTGTCTCATTGCAGCCTCCAACTCCTGGGCTCAAGAAATCCTCCCACCTCAGCCTCCCAAGAAGCTAGGACTACAGGTGTGTGCAACCATGCCCAGCTAATTTCTAAAGTTTTTATAGAGATGGGGCACTCGCTGTATGGCCCAGGCAGGTCTTAAACTCCCTGTCTATCTACAAGAAGCCCTCTGATGGCTGTGCCTCTGGGGTCACACCAACTGCGGGGGGCTTGGTGAGCACATTCTGCCTTGAGACCTGACATTTCTGTCAGGTAAGATGGGTAACAGGTAAGACATTTCTGTCAGGTATCCGAGAAGATAAGATTTCTTCTCAGTTCCTGCTCATTGTAGAACTGTCAGTCAGATGTTGGTCCTTTTGAATTGATCCTGTGATTCCTTCTTTCTACCTTTGCTTGTAGATAGACTTCCCTGCATCCAACACACACACACTCTCTGCTTTTCAAAAACTTAGTTCTGGGGCCAGGCACGGTGGCTCCCTCCTGTAATCCCAGCATTTTGGGAGGCTGAGGCGGGCAGATCACTTGAGGTCAGGAGTTCCAGACCAGCCTGGCCAACATGGTGAAACCTGTCTTTACTAAAAATACAAAAATAAGCTGCACATGGCGGCGTGTGCCTGTAATTTCAGCTACTCGAGAGGCTGAGGCAGGAGAGTCGCTGGAACCCAGGGACGGAGGTTACAGTGAGCCGAGATCGTGCCACTGCACTCCAGCCTGGGTGACAGAGCCAGACTCTGTCTCAAAAATAAATAAATGAATAAAAATAAAAAAGTTGGTTTGGATTTTAGCAGTCCTGCTTTTCATTTCCAAGACATCCCCACGGTTCCCCGAGCTCCCCTCTTCTTGTTCCAGAGAATTCGGTTCTGCTCTTAGGGCCAAAGCGGGTTTGCGGGGAGGTGAATCTTGTGCTTTCTGCATTTGCTCGCGTGTGGTTCTTTTCTGTTTGTTTAGTGTTGGAACTTCCCATGAGACTCAGAGCTCAAATGTCTGATTTTCCTTCTTTTCGATCCCTGTTTATAGGGAAGCAGGCGGAGCTGCCGGGTGCTCCTCTGTCATGGGTAACATGAGACAGCCGGACAGCCAGGTCCTGGGAGGGAGGCCTCCTGCCCCCACTGCTGTCCCGCCATGCCTGTTCTCAGCACATGTCTCCTCACCAGTGATGAGGCCACTGCTTGCCAGCCACTCGCCTTCCTCCTGCCAGGCTGTCCTGCCATGTCAGCCTTCTCTTTCCACCTCAAGAAGTGTCTTGAAATACCTTGTCTGCAGATGACCTCTCTCCTGTTCTGGTGCCACGTGGGCCTCCCCAGCGGAGACGCTGGACACCTGGCCCTGACTGCCGGAGGTGTCTGTTTAGCTGTCAGAGGGCGGTGGCAGCTCCAGGACCCTCCCCGGCCCCTGCCCTGTTCATTCCTTGCTGCAATGTCATGGGTCTCAGGATGTGCTGAGCTCAGAGACCCCATGGGACAACCTGGGATGGGGGCTGAGGAAGGCCTCTTGGAGGAGCCCTGAGGCAAGGTGGCCCTGGGGTGGGGTGGAGGAGGCTGTGATCAGCAGGGGTGGGGGCTGTCCCCTGCTCTGTGTGTCCCTGAGTGAATGGGGGGTGCCGTCCCTTGTTCTATGTGTCCCTGAGTGAGTGGGGGGGGCTGTCCCCTGCTCTGTGTGTCCCTGAGTGAGTGGGGGGGCTGTCCCCTGCTCTGTGTGTCCCTGAGTGAGTGGGGGGGACTGTCCCCTGCTCTATGTGTCCCTGAGTGAGTGGCGGGAGCTGTCCCCTGCTTTGTGTGTCCCTGAGTGAGAGTGGGGGGGGGCCGTCCCCTGTTCTATGTATCCCTGAGTGGGGGGGGCGTCCCCTGCTGTGTGTGTCCCTGAGTGGGGTGGGGGCTGTCCCCTGCTCT